TCTATTTAGGGAACTAATAAATAACTTTTCTTTATCCGCCCTCTCCACACCACTCATGACTGTATATACCTCTATCATATCCCCCCTCAGTTGCCTCTTTTCTAAACTGAAAAGTCCCAGTCGCTTTAACCTCTCCTCCTATGGGACCTGTTCCAAACCCCTAATCATTTTAGTTGCCTTTTTCTGAACCCTTTCCTAGGCCAAAATATCTTTTTTGAGGTGAGGAGACCACATCTGTACACAGTATTCCAGATGTGGGCGTACCATAGTTTTATACAGGGACAGTAAGATTTTCTGTCTTATTTTCTATCCCTTTCTTAATAATTCCTAGCATCCTATTTGCCTTTTTGACCGCCGCTGCACACCGTGTGGAAGTTTTCAGAGAATTTCGTGCTTCTATGGCCTATTTATTGTTGGTGTTGTAAGGAACCCATTCAGGCTGAGAAACATAAGTAGGTTAGTCAGAGGTCACACAGATGTAAACCACATGTCCAGGAAGTTGTGTCCCTTCTCTCTGCTCAACCCTCCAACTGACCCTTCACTCCTCCCTCTCCTGTTGAAGGAAATGGTAGCTAGTGAGTCAGCGAGCCACCATGCAAAGAAAAAACTGGGGCAGGGGCGGGGGTGGGGGTGGAACAATGCATAGAAATTCATTCCTATCTTAACAGAGCCCGGCGGCTTGCTGTTTCACTATTCTGTTCTGTATTTCTGAGCACTTGAGTTTCCATGGGAAGGCAGGGATCAATTTAGAGGCTGGGATCTGGGGCTATGGAAAAACTGTTCCAGTGAAAGCAGAAATAACATGTCACACTCCTTCCCACTGACTACCGCAGTCAGTTGAGGTGACCTTAAAATGGTACTTGGGATCAGCAAAGTGGAGAGAAGCTTTTGAGACACAGGTATTTATTGCCATTTGCAGGAAGTGGAGGTGACAAACTACACTACACTACAACATTATTTCAAATTATCTTATTTTGAAATAGTTAATTCAAAAGAAGTTATTTTGAAATAACGCGTCTACACACAAAATACATTTCAAAATAGTGTTTTGCTATTTCGAAATAGCGCGTCCGCACTGAGTGGACTGTGAATCACATTTAAGGCTGGCCGGAACCAGTTCCAGAAGGGCACCAGGTCAGGACTTACTGTGTGGGGCTGCTGCCTGAGGTCTGTGCTTAAAAGGTCCCCCCTCCCCCTCCCCCTCCTCTCTCCCCCTCAGACAGCCAGTTCTCAGGTTTCCCTGCTTACTTATCTACCTTGATGAGGGAGAGCAAAGCATTTTGTCTCTGCGTGTTCTGGTTACCCTCACTCGGGACACCACAGCACTCTGCAACATGGAGACAGAGCTGTCCCTGGGTGCTCTGGTGCTTCTTGGGGGGCTGTCAGTATCCAGGAGGCCCTGCGGGAGAGCTTCCACCCTGAGGAGCACTAAGAGCCTCTCTGGTCTGCTCCAATGGGGGCTTGTGCCTCATTCCTCCCTCACGTCCTTCCACTTACCCCTCCCTAACCCCCCTTTCTGATGTCAAATAAAATACACGTTTTTAAAAAATATAAACTCTGTTTATTTAACAAACTGGGAGGGGGGGCGTTATGAAACTCTGGTGAGACTGAGGAACGGAGGCGGGAGAAGAGAGGGTGGCAGAGGGGAGGGGGAAACCTGGGAGGAGGGAGCTGGAAGGGGGAACCAAGGGGAAGAAGGGGGAGGGGAAGCTCAGGGCCAACTGTCTCCAAGCACCGCAAATGCGGGAGGCCTTGGCATCCCTGTGGAGATGAGGAGGGTTTGGAGGGTATGGAGGAGGTGGAGGGAGAAGCGGGAGGGGAAGGAGGAGTGGGAGGAGGAGCGGTAGCTGGGGAGGCAGCAGGTGCTGGAGCGGCAGGAGGCAACACGCCTCACATGATGTTACCTTCCCGGATGACACTGGTGATGGGTCTCCCGGAATGGCTCGGGAATCCTGGCTGCGTGGTATGCTCCCTCTGGGCTCCTGTGGCTCCTGGCGCTCCTCCTCCATGCCCTGGTCAGGGCCCTCCACCCTACCCCGGCTCCAGGATCGATGACCCCCGGGGTAGCATGGACCATCCTGCCCCCCAGGATGCAGACCAGGGCATCAAAATAGGGGCAGGTGTCTACCCTGTGTGGGAGCTGCCCCGTGTGTCCCTGGCACCTGCTCCAGGGTGCTCATGTGGCCTTTGGTGGCCCGGCTGTCAGCCATCCATCTGCAGACAGCCGCGTTCCTCCATCTAGTGTGGAGATCATGAACATTGGAGGCCTCCCTGCAAACCTCAATCAGGTCCATGATCTCCGCACTGAACCAGGAAGGCACTCGCCTTCTCCGACCCGGCAGGCTCCTAGGAGTTGGGGGACTGGGTCTGGGGAGCAGTGGAGGGCTGGTTGAAACTGGCTGCCTGGCTCATGGTGGGGTAACAGGGTCAGGGGCAGCGACTGCTGGCTCTGTGCTGGCAGGCTTGCAGCTGGCACAGGCACTGTGGCCAGAGTCTACCCCTTTAAGGGCTTCAGGGCCAGGGGAGAGGAGAGGAGTTTTCCTGGTTTGGCCCAGAGTGGCCACCAGGGAACACTGGGAAGGGCTGGAGGTCCCCTATTTGAAATAAGCATCTACACAGCGCTTATTTCGAATTAGCTATTTCGAACTTGGTGTTATTCCTCATAGAATTTGGTTTGGCTGTGTAGATGCTAGGAAAGTTATTTTGAAATAACGTTGCTGTGCAGACATACCCATACTTATTTATTGTTAAAGAACTGTTATATATCAGGAACCTGTAACATGCATTGCTCGGGAACGGCCACAAGTTTCAACATGTTTCCTAGCTCCAATTTAATATTGTCTGGAAGGCAAATTGGGCTTCTAAAACCAGAGGCATAGTGAGGCTGTTATACGCCCGAGGCAAAGGAAAAATGTGCCCCCACCCCTTTCACCACCACTGTGTGGTGGGGCCCCAAACCTGGCGCATGACTGAGCCCAACCCCGGGAGAGGGGGAGGAGTTCGTACTGTGTCTTCCCCTGCCCCCACCAGTTTGGGACTAGGCTCCCGCACAAATTAAACCACCAGCAGAGATGGAGGAGGGTCGGGCTGGGGGGCGGAAAGGAGGCTCCAGCCGGTGGCAGTGGGCAGAGGAGGAAGAGCAAAGAGATGACAGGTGGAGCTGAAGGAGGACTTAATTGTTGCCCCCTTAGCATGGCACCTTGGGACAACCTCCCCCCCATCTGCCACATCTGTATGGCTGAGGTCCAGGGATTTGGATCTGCAAGTTCTTCCCAAAATGCACAATGGAAAGTCATGCCAGAGGTAGAATTAAAATATAGGCAATTAACTTGGAATGATCAGTAAGTCATTTCTGATATAGCTTTTCCTGTTTTAGGCTATGGATATCCCATCTCCATTCTCTTATTTCTACATCTACTTATGCTGTCGACATGAAGTTTGTGTTTTTAGGGACGTTCATGGCTCTAGAGCAGGGCTTCTCAACTTTGGAAGCCCTGAGGGCCACAATGGTACTCACAGCACATGCCGAGGGCCGCAACTTAAGTGTGATTGCATGTACATGCAAATATGTATGCAAATAACTTTTCACACTGACGGGCATGAGTACAAAGATTAAGGCAAGACTACACAACACACAGGTTCCATTTAAGTCAGTTCTGCTGATATTAATAACATGCAATATTTACCCAATTTCCGCTCATATAACAGCACTTTTAATGAGCAATGACAGTCCAGGAGTTTAACTACTAAAACACATATCAACAGAGACCATTATATTGACTCACCATTATGGAACGTGCTCCCAAAGGAAGCCATGTTCAAAGGATCCTACCCGCGGACTGTGTGTTGAGCCCTGAGTAAACCCAAACTGCACCGCGGGCCGTAATCAAACAGGCTGAGGGCCACATGCATGTTGAGTAGCCTTACTCTAAAGCCTAGTTACTCTGTTGTGGGATCCACTATTAAAAATGAATAAAGACATTTTTATTACCAAACATTGTAGACTATGGGTTAAATGACTGGCTACTAGGACTACACTAGAGATGGTACAGCAGCACCGGTGTTGCATTGCAGGTGTGCTGCTATGAGGTCTCCTGAGTAGCCACTTTTTGCCAACAGGAGGAGCTCTCCTGTTGACGTAATTAAATCTTCCCGACAAGTGGCATAGTGATGTCAGTAGGAGAGCATGTCCACTGACATAGTGCTGTCCACACCATCACTTCTGTCGTTAAAACATTTGTCGGTCGGGGGTGCTCTTTCACAGTCTTGACCAACCAATGTTTTGCCCCCAAAAGTGTGAATGTAGACATAGCCATAGTTATTTACATTTGCATGAATCATTTATTGGAGGGTTGGATTTTTTTTGGTTTCTGAATTGACATTCAAAATATGAAACAAAGCTGTACAGAAGACAACTCTTCTATTTATATTACAATATCCAATTGATTTGGCATATGGACAGTCCTCATTGAATGTTTTAAGCCTTCATTGTTTGAACTTCAAGCTGTTGTCAGGAAATGTTTGAAAGTTGGCAATTTGTAGTGTTGGACTCACATTTTTAAACACATGCTGCAATCAGAATTAGAGTGCAGAAAATCTGGCATCTTTCGCTACTTATTTGATTTCTATTTGTGTGCATATTCCTGTTCCTCTGCTCCTAGCAAACAGAAGCTTTTCTTCAGGCCCAATGTGTGTTTTTACTAGGTTCTGGCTATCGCAAAAGTGGCCATAGCATTGGTGCACCCCAGGACACTTGGGAAGGAACTACCTACCATATTCTAGCTCTTGCTTATTCATGCTAATGTTGGGAAGACCCACTGTGAATTACCAAATTGCACGGAGTAAAACGTCAAAGCTTGCCAGATGTGTTTTATTTATTTATTTAGGCAATTATACTTCAATTTAATTATTTATGATAATACTTCATAAATGTTCTAGTCAATGCTCTGGAGTATGAAGTTTTAAGTAATATGGCAACTCATTCAGCTTTTAAATTTTTGCATAGTAGAGGGAAGAGAAGGACAGCCAGTATTTTGTGCAAATTAGGGAGGATTTACTGTATTAGAATAAAAAACACATGGTCATTCTGGTTTCCCCATCATTTCTTTAGCCAGTTAAGTGCTCTCAAGAATACTGGTCATGCCTAGCAAATAGACACCCATACCTGGCACTGCAGAAATACCAAGCAAGGCTATCGATTTCAACGGGCTATCACTACAAATCAGTAGCACAGGACTGAATAAATAGATCAATAGTAAAGGAGTTGATTAATATTGGCTCTACATTCTGAATTCAAATCAGTGCCATATGGCCCTTTCATGAGAGCCAGACTTCTTTTCCCAGGTAAGCCATTTTCTGCTTCCTCACTTCAGTGGGCTTTCCTCACCAGCACAACTAGAGGCAAAATGCAAAGAAAAAAAAACTAAGGACGTTCCCCTCACCCTCATTTTCATCACAAGTTCATTTGTATGGAGACTTTCAACAAACATTCTTTACCGGTTACTGACTTTTCCTCCCAGCTGTTACCTGGGGTTCAGTGGGAGCATCATCACAGGTCTTGTTCATATGATCTGGCACATTTTACTTATTGAACATAAAGACCTATTCTTTATTGATATAAGCACTTCCACATCTCATACCAGTGGTGAATTTGGCCCAGTTTTTTAAAGATCAGCAATTAAGCAGTGCCTCAGAAAATGAATTAAGATGACGGCAGCTATACAATTTGCCATCATTTCTAAAAGTCTTGTTTTGCTGACTATCACATATTGCTATTGTAACATAAGGTGGGAAATAGAAAAACCTCACATAGGCTCCATCATCTGTTTCTCATTTTGTAACAGTTTAGGTGAGAACGAGATTTTGTTCCAAAGCTCAAAAGAGAAGTAACAGACATTTCACGGCAGAAGCAAGCCTGAAACACACATAAGTTTCATAAAATCAGAATCCTTCCAACTGTTGTGCCAATGAAGACAGTAAACTGAGAAGAAATGCAAATACGCATTCTTTAAACATTTTCTGCTTTTTTGATAATCAAACATTTCATTCTGAGGAACTTTGTCAAACTACAACCGGAGGGAATCCTAACAAGGCTCCTATGCAGATTTCAAACATTCCCATTCTCCTGAGAACATAATGCCAGCACAATCCCATTGGCATTAAAAACAGCAGTTCTCCACTCTACATCTTTGCAGGGATACTGGCCAAATTCTCAATGACAATTGAAATTCCATGTCAGTTACTGTCAGAGGCCTCTTTAGAGGTTGCACCAATGTAACGTAGACGGTTTTAAGAACACAAGAGGGGCCATATTGGGTCAGACCCACTGGGATTTGTCATAATAATTGAAAAGCTGACTTCCTAGCATACTAAGGTATTTCCATTAAATATTGTTTGACTTTCTGAACGATGTATAAAAGTAAGCATGGCAGGATGGTTATTTTGGTTAATGAAAGCAAATGTTTTTAAAGTATAAGCAGGTCTAATTATAGGACAAAAACAGACTAAAATTGCAGGTAGAACTTTTTGCATGTGCAGTTTTTCTCTGGACAAGGTTTTGTTCATACAAAATTTGGATTTGGAATACAAATCAACACTGAGACCGTCAAAGGAGACCAAGGATGCTGGATGACTAATGCTTTTAGGCCTTTTAGTAAATCTCAGATCAAACAACTAGGCATCTAACTGTGATTTGCATGTTGAATAGCAATTTCTGCACCTAAGTCCATGTTTTGCAAATTCATTTATAGAAATTAGAGCTTAAATGTGAATGGCAGAAGCAGTATTCTGCCTCACAAATGAGCTGTATTATTACATTCCTATGTGACCCAGCAAGCTTTGAAATATGTGTCCTTTAAAAGAAATGGTAATTTGCTTATTCTGAAAGAAAAGCAAAGACATTCTCACCAAGAACAGGGAACCATTTGCTATCCACATAGGTCAACTTCTTTATGGCTTTTATATCTTTGTCCTCGAATTCTAGAATTAAAATCACATAAATATTTTCATAGAATCATAGAACAGTAGCAGAAATAGTTGGTGTAGCAATTCCAGATGTAGCAGCTGGTTACTCACTTCCCTCCCCCACATTCACCACTTTTCATATGACCTGTACACAACTTAATTAGATTTGAGCTCAAACGAAATCTATAATGCTATACAGGCAGTCCCCGGGTTACATGGATCCGACTTACATCGGATCCCTACTTACAAATGGGGTGAGGCAACCCCGCACTAGCTGCTTCCCCCCAGCAGACCAGGCAGACGTGGAGCGGCTTTTCTCAGCAGACCCCTCAGCTTGAGAATAAAGGACTGAGGGAAGTGAGGTGTGGGAGAATAAAACTGAGCTCTGGAGAAATGTTTGGCTAGAGTTTCCCGTACAATATGTACCAGTTCCGACTTACATACAAATTCAACTTAAGAACAACCCTACAGTCCCTATCTTGTACTTACCCCGGGGACTGCCTGTATATGCATCCATGTGAACGTCCACTGAAATATATTTTTCAGATGGGGGGATAATAAAATTATGACCAAGTGAAAAACCCAGTAAGATTAAGTCTAAGGAGTGAGTAAAAAAACAAAGTCAGCATGGTGTACAAAAACATTCAATACAATGAACACAAGACAAAATACAATGAAATTAGAAGTGCCCACAGTTTTAGTATTTTCACACTTCATTATCAGCTTTGCTCATCTTTCAGCAGAAAAATGTTGCAAACAAACCTATTTTCAACAGAAAATGGTTAAAACTTTTGCACATTTGTTTTTGCTGTAGAAAGAGTAAATGTGATGATTTTGTATATTTTTATAGTCAAATAACTGTTTTCGTGACATTTTGCAAAAATGCTAAATTTGAGGAGTAGATGGGGAACAAAGCAAAAGAATATAATATCAGAAAAATTCATGGAAGTTTTGACAAAATCTGAATAGTAGATTTGCTTGGTGTTCACTTTGCAACTCTTTATTGATACTTTGTTGTGTGGCATTCTCAAACATAAACCAGACCTTTAATCATTATTCTTTACAACAGCCAGGAGATCTAATTCAGAAAGTAAAGCAAGGAACAACAACTGAATTGTCCTCTCACTAGAAAACTTGAATTTTCATGTCAGATTTCAAAGAGATTGAGCTCTGCAGGTTTCACAAAGACTTCAATGGAATTTGAGCTGCACTACCTGAGCTCATTACAAGCGCTTAAAATTGAACAGCATCAGAAATGCCAAGAAAAACAAAAGACTTGTCGTGCATTTCTCGCAAAACATCATCCCGCCTCCATGATCTACTGTATAGTTTAGAGGGTTTGTCTGTGCATCTGTGCATGAGTCTGTCTGTCTTTTCAAGAACTTCTTCTAAAAAGGTGACAGCTAGGACCTCCATATTCGGTGTGCAGCTTCCTCTTATCAAAATTTAAACCAAGGTAAGCGTTTGGTTGTGCCAGGAAAATGGGATGTTCCCAGAATGGGATTGCCGCTCATAAAACCATACAGAAAAGAGCCAGAATCACCAGGCAGATGAAAGTGGCTGTATGGGGGTGTGCCACCCCACCACCCAGGACTGCTCCAGCCCCAACCTGCCCACCCTGCAAGTGCCATTGAAGGAGGGCTGAGGAGGCTGAAGTTCTCCCTCCGCCCCTGCAGATACACACTGGAATATTTGCTGGCTGTTCCCCTTCATCATGGAGCAAAGGGAAAGTGTAGAGTTTGCTGCATTCCTCAGTCTGGTTGGGGAGTGCAGAGGGGTAGATGAACCTGAATCCGCTCCATCTGCAGGACATGCACCCCTCCCTTGGCTGTGCCAGCTGGAGCTGCAGTGGTCTTGGGAGGCGCTTTTTACCTGCCCCCAAACTGCTGCAGAGAGAGAGAGGGCTGGGGCTGTCCTCTCTCCCTGGGGCAGTCTGCACCCCATATCCCCAGCCTCGCCCCAGCACAATGAGTTAAATGAAGAAAAACAAACATTCATTGAGTTAAGGACCGGAGCAGTAATTCTCTTTTTATATGAAATGATAGTAATGGCAAAGTAAAACACCTTTGCACTGAGTTGACTCTAAAGTGACATGAAAATGTGCATTTATTTAAGGAAGGCTTGTGCAGGCTAAGTACTGGTATAAAATCTCAGTTACGCACAACTCCAAAATTAGAGGATAACGGCTAATACTGTTATAAAAAAACCAGCTCATTGGGAGTTTATTCATTTTTGAGAAATGTTTACTTCTATAATATAGCATTTGCTGCCTCTGAAATTACCTCTGTGTAAAGGCTGACTTTTATCTATTTTTATTGCATCATGAATAAGTAGCCCTCTTTTATGATCAGCATCATTTTGATATACTAGGATTTTGTATAAATATGTTTTCCATCATGGTGAAAGCCGGATATGTATGCATATATCCACATCATCACTGCTAAAAACAGCCTGATGAAAACAGCAGTTATTTAGTTCCATCATTTCATCAGATTCTTTGAATTGTCTCAGAATGTCAGGGAAAAGCTGTGTCAACATCCCAGATTCTACTTGAAAATATGTTATCCAAAAGATGCACAGCCTGTACACCATGGAATTGTTGGGAGCGTTCTCAGAGGTCTGCCAGCATGACTCCAATAGAGGGCTTCTCATGGGGTTTTTTCATAAATTTCCCCATGTACTTAAAAATTCTCCTCTTGTCTAAATTAATTATATATATGGCTGTCAAGCAATTAAAATTAATTGTGAATAATCATGAGATTAATTACACTATTAAACAATAATAGAATATGATTTATTCAAATCTTTGAGGGTTTTTTTTCTACATTTTCAAATGCATGATTTAACTTACCACACAGAATGCAAAGTGTACACGGCTGATATTTTTTATAACTGTAAAAAACAAAAGAAATATTTTTCAGTACCACCATTATAAACACAGAAGTGCAATCTATATCCTCTGGAATGGTGGCTGAAACATGACAGGGCATATGAACTAAGGACTATTTGGAAAAACCGGACATGCATAAATCCATGGTGCCAGAGCTAATGCACTTTGAAGGTGCTGAGGGAGTTGGCTGACATGATTGCAGAGCCACTGGCCATTATCTTTGAAAACTCATGGCAATCGGGGATAGATCCCAGACAACTGGAAAAAGGCAAATGCAGTTCCCATCTTTAAGAAAAGTAAGAAGGGGAATCCAGGGAACCACAAACCAGTGAGCCTCACCTCAGTCGCTGAAAAAATCATGGAGCAGGTCCACAAAGAATCTATTTTGAAACACTTGAAGGAGGGAATAGTCAACATGAATTCATCAAGGGTAAGTCATTCCTGTCCAACTTTCTATGAAGAGATAATTAGCTCTGTGGATATGGGGAAAGAGGTGGATGCGACATACATTGACTTTAGCAAAGTTTTTGATAAGGTCTCCCACGGTATTATTGCTAGGAAGTTAAAGAAGTATGGCTTATATGATTGGACTATAAAGTTGCTACAAAGCTGACCAGATTGTCAGACTCAACAAGGACTTGTCAATGTTAGGGGGCTGGAGAACATGACCTATGGGGAGAGGCTGAGGGATTTGGGCTTATTTAGTCTGCAGAAGAGAAGAGTGAAGGGGGATTTGATAGCAGCCTTCAACTTCCTGAAGGGAGATTCCAAAGAGGATGGAGAGAAGCTCTTCTGAGTAGTGACAGATGGCAGAAAAAGGAGCAATGGTCTCAAGTTACAGTGGGGGAGGTCTAGGTTGGAAATTAGGAAAAACTATTTCAGTAGGAGAGTGGTGAAGCACTGGAATGGGTTACCTAGGGAAGTGGAGGAATTTCCATCCCTAGAGATTTTTAAGTCTCAGCTTGACAAAGCCCTGGCTGGATTGATTTAGTTGGGATTGGTCCTGCTTTGGGAAGGGGACTGGGCTTGATGACCTCCTGAGTTCTCTTCCAGCCCTACGATTCTATGTCTTGCTCTCTAGTTGGCAGTTGGTATCAAGCAGAATACCCCAGAGGTTGGTCCTGAGGCCGGTTTTGTGAAAATCTTCATTCATAATCTGGATGACGGGATGGATTGCACCTTCAGCAAGTTTGTGGATGACACTAAACTAGGGGGGGAGAGAGAGATGCTGGAGGATAGGGATAGGTTCCAGAGTGGATAAATTGGCCCAAAAGTAATCTGATGAGGTTCAACAAGGACAGGTGCAGATTTCTGGGTGGAAGAATCCCATGAAATGCTATAGGTTAGGACTGACTAGATAAGTGACAGTTTTGCAGAACAGGACCCGGGGATGACAAGCCATATATATGTGGATGTGACTAACAGACAATTCTGTCAACCTAAAATACTAGTAACGCATTTATCCTAAACAGACGCATTAACACTACATTTCTGTATTTAAACACACTGAGAAACAGCTTCAGTGAAAGAAGTCAAAGACTAGGTCCAGTATTGTTTAACTCACTCAGAATAAAGTAATATGCTCCCTACAAAATTTTAAAGTCACGATCATGATTTATTTAAGAGTTTCAGATTTTATAGTGACTCCAACAAAATTATCCAATATCCTGAATACAGATTCAAATGGAAAATTTCTCCCTCAGGATTCTGAGCAGAGTAAGACCAACATGTGAGTCACTCATCCATTTTCAAGAATGAGACAGGAAGTGGTACTGAGCATGCCAGTGCTGGAAGTGGTGTCAGTGGAACAGAAGTGTTTGATTGTATTGATCAAGGCTGGTGAAAGCCACCATTGTAAAATCTATAGTGCCACCTGCTAGAATGCCAAGGAGTTTATTAGTGATAGAAATGTAGTCGTGTTAGTCTGCTGTAGCTGAAGCAAAAAACCGGACTATGTAGCACTTTAAAGACTAACAAGATGGTTTATTAGGTGATGAGCTTTCGTGGGCCAGACCCACTTCCTCAGATCAAATAGTGGAAGAAAATTGGCACAACCATATATACCAAAGGATACAATCACATGGTACTAGCAGACAGGAGGGTTCACTAGCTCATTCAGCCAATGGGGTTATAAATGAAGCAACCCTAGTAAAGTCTTGGACCAAGGAAGAGGCTGAGACTGCAAGGCAGATGTTACCTGTTGCTGCCTGGTCCACTGCCAACATGGAAACTGGACCCAGTTGATGCTCAGGGGCTGGAACTGAAGTCAAAAGTACAGAGTTTCTAACCTTTCTACTTGATACACATCCTGTGCTGGTCAATGCTTTTCTTTGGGGGGTTGGAAGAGTCCACCCAAGCCCTGAAGTGCTCTTGATCAGTCTTATATGACCTTTTCCTCACACAGTTGATGGGGGAAAGCTCCTCTCTTTGGAGAGGCATCTGTTCTGGAATGCCAAGTGGGAACATTCTCAGAACTCGAGTGCGATCTCTGACCCAACAAGGGCCTCGGTACCAAAACGGGGGCATGGCCTGTTTGCACAGTTGCTGCTTCAGGTGAAGATTCCAAGCCACTTGAGTCTGTTTCTTGAACAATCTGCAGAATGTACAAACACTCTTTAATGTGGGCCTTGCGGAGACAGAGAAAACACCCTGGCTGGGGATCACCCTTTGGGATTGCTCCTCCTTACACACAAAGGGCAATGTTTAAACCAGAATGAGGCCATCACCAAGAAAAAACTCAATTAATTAAACTAACACCAAAGGGCACTACTAACTGTATATGACAGGACAAAACAAAACTAGTGGGGAGATAATGAGGTTAAGATCTCACAGAGAGCTCCAACTCTATTCATGGGTGAGACTCAAGGCAACACTATCTGATGTAGCCTGAGGAAAATTCATGGCCACAAAGCACAAACTCTACCCCTCTTTCACAAAGCAAATTTCTCTAGCTCTGGTGCAATGGTTGCACACATACCTAAGTGGACTATACATCTGTATCCACTCAAAGAAGTACTTGGTATCGAGGAGGGACTGATTAGTATCTATATACGCAGCCTCCTGCTTCAATATCTTATTTCCTAGTCTTCACTGACAGGCAGAAACATTCCTCGCTCACTGTGACTAGTGTCCACAGGCAAAAGAATGTCAGCAAAAGCACTTCTAAGAATCAGAGATTACTATGAATGTACTGCAAGAGCTGCACAGCAGTGTTCCTGAGGGCCTTACCTCTCTCACTCTTTCTCTGCTTTTGTAGTCTCTGATTGTGGTACAAATGTATTGTGCATCATCAAGAACTAGAAATGATTTTGTGGTGCATCCATTATATTTCTTACAGGTCTCCAGAAAACACAGAAAGATGTAGAAAACCTTCTGCCCATACAAAATAGTCGGCATGAAATAGTCCTTATGGCTGCAAAAGCAGCTGCTTCTATTGGGCCATAAGATATGGCAACAGTCTATGCCAGCGATGGGCAACCTAGGCTAAGAGTTGGGCAACATGAGTGCCCCCCGCCCTTCATCTCAGTGGACTGCAAGATTGTTGCTAATCCAGATAGTCTCCTGAGACAGGGTACTTTTGCTGACTGTGCTTGTGTACCTAGAATTTGTGCGGCGTGAGAATTGAACCATAGCAGCGCCTTCATTGGAAGCCGAGGGAGTGCACGGCCCTCACATTGTGTGTGCAATCAGCATGCACCTCACATCACGTGCCCTTGTTTTCTGTGTGTGTGTCTTGTTAGTCATGTTGGTAGGAAAAAACCTAGGTAGATGGAAACCAGCAGACTCTGTCCACCCTGCGCATGGACAACATTAAAAAAAAAGTTTTTTTAGGCCACACCTAGAGCCCCAATGGGCCGTAGGTTGCCACCACCAGTCTATGCAGTGCTATGGCAGCAAACCAGCATAGAAGGTTCAAACTGGAGCTAAACAAATGTGATAACATTATTCAGTGTCCCATGTGTCACAAATGGGAGTTCAATCCTTTTACCATTGGACATATGCTCATTCCTCAAAAACACCACTACAATTCACACTGAGTTGTCAGCACTTGAAGCAGAGAAGCCAGCACATGAATGAACTTGGAGACTGAACTGCTTTTTCAACCCCAGAGCTTGTTTTTCTCTGGTCAATGGTGAGGCATTTTCTATATAGCAAAGTAAGCCCTCTGAATGAGACATGCTAAGGAGACGGATGAAGAGTAGTCTAAGCTGAAGGGTGGTCTGATACGTGATTGTACATATTCTGAGACAGAGAATCTGTCACCTGCTTCTCTCCCAGTATGGAAGGAGAGAAGTCATGGCTAGCCATCAAGTGACACACATAATTTATCATTTTTATTCATCCATCCTTCATTACACTGTCTGAAGTAATAACAATAAATACGTCAGTTAGTTATTCTCCCAGGTTTCCTGTTGTGAATTACATCTCCATATCGAGTTTCTCATGAATACATTGTTCCCCATTGTTCACAGCTGCACAGGTAATCTGCCTCCCATTCACAATTGTATAATGTCCTCCTGAGGCCGGAACAATTGTTTCAGAGAGTGGGAACAGTAGGAAAGCGTTCTGATGTGTTTGACTTTGGCACAGTGATTATTTCACCCATTCATAAAAGAAGTTAATCATATTGTTTTCTTTTGTTTCAGACTGACATCCTCACCAACTAGTTATTGTAATCCTCTCTGCATATCCCCATCCATAATGCCCTGCCACCGAGCCCTCACCTCTCCAATTACATTTCCCTGCTGCATGCTCTTCTCCAACCTTCCATTCTTAGTTTTCTTCTCCATTGGACATTGCACAGCTCTTGGCTCTTTTGCCTATGTTGGCATATCCTCCAGCTGTCCCCTTTTACTCCCCCTTCCTTAGTACCTTCTATCTGATGGCTCTGGCCCCTGAGAGCAGCTCCTATTTCCTTTCCTCCTCTACCTACAGCATGCGACTGCAGACCCCAGGAACAGCAGCTGTAGGCCTCCAGGCTTCGTATTGCAATGAAAAATATGAACACCTGTAAGACAGCTGGCAAGAAGAAATCAGCCCAGGAGAGGCAGACTGCTAGTGGTCCGTGCATAGGTCTGCTGGGTGTTATTTAGTGGTTGTAACAGTATAACATCAGGCAGACGTCTACCCTCAAAGAATAAAGCATAACTGAAAGCAAATGAATAATTAAGGACCATCAGCAGCATAGTTCCAGCCATCCACTGGTATGTAGCCATAGTTCATTATAAGAATTAATGCTCCAGTATATCCACAGATTGCTGTGGAAGGCATCAGGGTAAGTAATCGTGTAAACCAAGGTATACAAATGACACAGGCTTATCCAGTAGTTCAACAACAGGAAAAAAGTCTCTGAGGTCTTACCTTGTATTGATTCAATTTTTCATATAACAATGAAAGCACAAATCTTTCCTCATTAAGAAAAAAAGATTTTGGGCAAGCTTACAGCATAGAGAACATACAGAAAATTTTCTTTAGATTTTTTTTCCTTTTCCACCAGATTACACAGGCACCAATTGTTAAAGAACATACAGGAGGAAGTGGGTTGAGTTTGCTCCTTTTCCCAGTGAGATATAACTTGTTTGCAGAATAACCTGAAATATTTGAACCATCTTGACAGACCATTTGAATTTGGATAGTGAAAGGAAGTGGTGAGAAGGAGAGAAAATGGGTCAGAAGATAATAGGTTAGAAAGAAAATATTTCTAGAAATAATTGGCTGATAAGGATCTATTTGATTGCCTTCTCCAGTTGCAGAGATATATGCACCCCTTAAATATATCCTGGATACATACTAGGGAAAAAAAATCCACAGAAATAAAATACCATAAAACAAAAGACAAGCAAAAATACTAAATATAACTATTCATTCATGGCATTTAGATGCATGCTGTTCGCTGCTTTCTTGAATTTAGATTGGTCTATATTCTTCTTAAATAGCTGGTATTAAATACTTAAGTATCAGATAGTCCCAAAATGAGTTCAGAAGTTATTCTGTGGAATTCAGGCAACAATGGTAATGATACAGTAATCTGTCATGATACTACAGTCCCTGACTTTCAACCCAGAACATTCTGCCCTAAAAATAACAGACCCAACCACCATCTAAAGTAGTAATTCCTTTAGCAAGCAGGAATAGAAAACTCTTATGTAGGCCAGCCATAGCATGGGAGAAGGACACATACACTGGGCTACCATGACACTCTTAAGTCTCAGATACCAAAAGATTCCTTTCATAAAGTCAATGCAGAAAGGGCAATGACCACTGCTGTTATGCAAAATTGCTAACATAGCAAAGGAAAGGGAAAGAATCAGCCCCCAACATGGACTTCGGTTCCACAGGACATTTGTGTTACCTTGTGTTCTTACGGACCAGTGTGCTGAGTCTGCTGCTAGAGTTAAGAGGAGGTAGCAGTCATCTCACTGCTCCTTCAATTCATAACATTTGAGCGATGAGGTTCCAGGTCATGACAAAATTCTGCTACTATCTAGAGGACTGACTGGATGTGGGGGTAGGGGTAGGAGGAGATTTGCTCCACTCAATGATAACTTCTGTGGAAAGAAGCCAACAAGGAAATAGCTGTAGATCCCCAAGGGAAGGAGGGACAGAATCAACTGGTCCCAGAGGAGGGAAAAGGCCATGTTCTCCAAAAGGGAACCCCTTGTTTTCAGAGAAGGGCAGGGGGAGGATTTTGCAGACTTCTGGCACCATTTCCATCCAAGATTACCAAGGTGAGGGGGGATTCCCAGTTCCCAAAGAGATGTGTGTGACAGGGAAGAAGGGAACATCATGATATTGAATTTCCAATGGGACTCAGAGGTCCGAATATCAGCCCAGCATCAAAGACTAAGGGTATGTCTACACCGCACCCTTAACTCGAAATAATATATGCAATTTACACTATGCAAATTGCATATCTTATTTCGATTCTGTTTTGCAATAGGCTATTGCGAAATTTGGTGCATCTACACAGCACCAAATTTTGAAATACCACACTATTTGATGACATCCCTTAGCCCTCGCGGAACGAGGTTTACAGGGATGCCGAAATAGCACATCCGCTATATTTCGCAATAGCAGGTGTGTTCAGAAGACATGGGGTCGCTATTTTGGGATACCTCTGACTTTCTCTAAATGAAAATACTAAACTCTTCACTCATCCTCTGTCTGTAACGTTTGGAGACCCCACAATGTTTTGGGATCCTAGGGGGTCCCTGTGAAATGGGAAGCATGAGAGAAAAAAGGATGTTACAATCCAAAGTCAACTTCAAGCAGATTTTAACTTACACCCAGCAACGGGCCTCTTTGACTCAAATAGTGGGAGACTTCTTTCTTCCATGACTAGGGGGAAAAGGAAGGGAGGACTGGCAGCTGGTGCTTCATCTGAATAGTGACAGAATGAGCAATCTTTCCTCTCCTTCCTTAG